CTGAGCCCGTTTTGCACCGTCGCTTAATGTTTGCGAAAAGATGGGATGGAAAGTTATATTAAGTGTATTTAAATAATCAGACTGTAGTTTCTTTGTGTTGTGTGAGACCTTTTGAGAACATCTCAATGTATTTCTGCTCTATTCTCCTCCTTGTTTGAAGGCAACTGACATTCTTCTTTCACTTTTCTTTTTGTTTGCGAAATTTTCTCCTTTTTTTTATCCACTCACTTCTCCATCTGCTTTCACTTTTGTTTGCTTGGGCCGTCTCTCATCCCAACTTGATAATGAGGAATGCGGTGTGACCCTGACCTCTATCAGCCCATGCATGACCTTCTGACTCCCCCACATAACCTCTGACCTTCTCTTTGACAGCTTGATTAATTACCCTGTGTTATGATTTATGAGTAAGTGCTATGTAAAAATAATAGACAACAGGTGGTCCTCTAAAAACTTTTTGTGGCATGTTTTCTTTTCCTGCCTAGCTTGATGAGCTATTTTAAGTTGGGAACTTAGTGGGACAATGTGTGTCTGGCAGTAACACGGCATTTTTACACACTTGGGCACAGCGCTGGAATTCAGGCAGCCGAGGTGTGGCCGGCGTGGAAATATCGCCAAGTATTAGCGAGGCGCAGTCGCCAAAACGTGCGTTGGGTGGAAACAGAAAGCGGAGTCAACTGGCATTTCAGGCGTTTCGGTCCCAGGTCACGTCTTGAGAAAATTGCTCAAATAATGGAGGGGACATTTTTCAAGCTGAGCTGCACCTCCAACAGCTATGTTTACTTTAACGCTTCACTAGTGGCTTCAGATTGGTTGCCATGACCTCATCCCGCTGTCGCACCTACGGTGTCGCAGCGGTGTCGTAGACGTACCCTTCCCGTGGAAGAGACGGGAAGCGAGCAGAACGCGCGTCTTTCAGAAAGATGAATGGACATGGCCGTGTCCCTCTTAACCGCGGGTGGGTTTAAGAGCTGAGCACTCCGAGCTGCATTTCCCCCGGGAACGGTCCGCGTAGAAACCTGAACTTGAAAATTCAGGTTGATAAAAGCTTAGGAGAATGATCTCTTTTCAGACCCTGGCTCGCGGTCCAAAAAGATGGTTGCATAGGTCAAAAGATTCCTCTCCAGCCCTGACCTCTCTGGTCACATATGGTGTCCCGTCCTGGTGGATTAATATGCAGAGCTGGATGCTTTCAGCCCACTATTCATGTGGCCGGGCAGAAGAGATTTCAAAAGATGGGGAATTCACCTCAGATACTTTGGGGTTGTTTTTATTTAGCCTTACTCTTGCTGTGCGGCGAGAATCTTGGTGTTTCGAACATCTCGCTTGAACTTCCAGTTCAAGAGGCAGAAAGTGCTGCTCCGTTTCTGGCTCGTGTATGACGGTGGAAAAAGCCCTTCTGCGTTGTTCTGTCTTTGTAGTAAAGGCGTGGTAACCGAGATTCGTGACTCTTTCCAACACTTGACTTTGTCAGACTGCTCTTCCGTTCGTCGTCGTTTGCCGGCTCAAACGTAAGCGTTAATTGTGGTTCTGTTTATGAACCTGAGAGTGGAGTTTGGGCACAGTCCTCTGCCTCCAGAAGCAGGTACTTGGAGGGTGCTAGCAGTGAGTGCAGGTTACATTTTAAGTACCTTGGAGCATTAGAGTTTGGGGAAATAGCTGTTAATTGGGTGTTTTAGTCTGAGAGGGAGGCTGTGATTGCATCCACCGAAGATTAGAGGCTGGGGCTTGTGTTTTACAATGTCTGTCCCGATTATTGGGCCTCATCACAGGCACACTGATGGGGGGG